ACTGTTTTTTAAGAACTGCATACAAAAGTTTAGTAAAAAAAAACTTTAAAAAGTGAATTTTACATAATAGGTCCCCTTTAAATAATTCTATTATTATTCCCTATCAAATGAGTTTATTTTTCTGGTTAAGATGTTCTTTAGGCTGAAGGGTTCAGTTTTGACTCGGCAGTAGCTCAGTGGTTAATGCCACGGTCTTACTGAGGCTGTGGGTTTGAGCCCAGGTGGTTTCAGGAAAGGCCGTTTGTCTTCTGATCTCTGACATCATCAGGGTATTTTCATCCACTCACTGGATATTTTCTGTTTCTCAGGCCATTCTCTGTAAACCCTACATGTTTGTAAAAACTCCTTGTAGATGTGCAGTTTCTAAAATACTCAATCAGCCTGTCTGGCATCTCTAACCTCAACACGTTCAAAGTCACCTGAATCCCATTTCCTCCTGATTCTGATACTTGGTTTGAACTTCAGCCTATATAATAATAATAATAAGCTAATAACGTATGTTACCTAACATATTTTACCAAGCAAAGTGGGRAAGTGTATTTCAAGTTATTGCTTTACTGCAGTGTGGCTGTAAATAAGTGGAACTATCTCATTGTTTAAGGCCTGGAGAGAACATCTGGCACTGATTCAGCTGAGGAGCAAGAACAAGGAAGTGACACAAACGAGCAAGCTTTAGGTCAGCAATCTGACAAGACTCCATCGAAGGTTCATTTGACTCCTCTGGAGCTGGACGGGCTTTGGAACCTTGTGGGTAAACTGGAATTGTTACCTTCTAACAAGAGGTGTGTCCCAGTAGGGATCCAAAATGCATCAGCACTCCTTACTCATATCAAGGTACGTCCCTTCAGTGGTGTCTCCGATGTAGTTTTGATTTCTCCTTTTTTCTTTCATCATTTTAAMTCACCTCTTTGTTTATTTTTGTTTTTGTTTTCTGCAGGCTCTACTGAAGGAACATGCTAATGATAACCCTAAACTGTCCTACACAGGAAACCCCATCATCAGGTGGCCACAGAGGGTATGTAGACCTAACTTTTAGGTTGTTTTCAATCCCAGAACTTWCTAGTCTAGACGTGTCTTGGATGATAAAAGTTCTTATCTCAATGTTTGACCACAAAGAACAACGTTACACTGCATTGAAGTACATAAAGTTCTTCTTCCCTCCAACAGCCGTCATGGTATCAGCCACCATCTCCTCCTCCTCCTGCTCCTACACCACCTCCTCCAGCAGCTTCTCGTCCTAAAATACTTTCTACACCCGTCAACCCACGACCTCAGAAACCAGCATCTTCCATGTCTGTGCTGAGGCGGCGCAGGGTCAGGTAACAACACTCARATGGACGTGTTTGTTTGTGTATCTGTGTGTGATTGATGGACATTTATAGGTGTGTAAATGTACACRGCTAAAGCTAACTCAGTGTATAGTTACCTGTCATTATGCTTCATAATGAGTTCTATTTTTACATGAAATCCATATAACCATCCATCCACTTGTCTATGGTTTAGTTGCAAAGGGAGCAGGTCCAGGATGGAAATTCAGACCTCCCTCTCCCCAGAAACACWTCTGTTCCTCCTGAGGGGTCACAGGACAATAGAAAGTACCGTATTTATTCGAGTATAATACATAAAATTTAATCKATAAAATCATCCATAAAGTTGGGGGTKGAATTATYCTCGGATAAATATTTTTACTTARGTATTTTAACTGAAATATCGGCAAAATTATTGAGTCCGGAAATGAGACCGCGTTGTAAACGGCAGTTGAATCGAGCTCACCTCTGACACTCCTTTGTGATTCAGAGTGAGATAATAACAGATCCAAGCAGGAGACATGATGTGAAAAAAGGGGTAAAAAATCAGTCCTGCAGCTC